TATATATGGAGGGTGGAGTAATGAAAGCTTTTGTGTAATAATTACGCGCGCAACATTCTTGCTGAAGTTTAAGATTTCGTTAGCGAATTCAGTACTTCCGTTTCCTACGCCAGCCAACTCGATCATGCTCTTTATATAGTTCTTGTATTCTATCAGTTCTGTTTGAAAGCGTAACGAGTCGAGCAAATAACGTTCGTTAAACCCTGGCGACGTTTGTTCCATCTGAAACTGTCTGAATTAATTTAAGGCCGAGATTGGAATCATTGTAAAATTGTAGGATTTAGACGAGATAATGAAATTCGTTCAATCGAATTCTTGCACCTCTGGCAGACTTTACCATCATTTTATTCTTTGCCGTGTCTCGTATGTCTTCGCTGATATAAAAATTTAGGAACACACTCAAGCCTAGAACTCGCTGTATTCTTCCGACAATATGAGAAAGATCAAAAGATAAAGTTTCGTTTTGTACGAATGGATCTTTTGGTAATTCGAGCCTGTCAAACATTTCATAGACAGGTTTCATTCCCAAAGCTTCGATGCCCGCTAATAAAACAAGGACAATTAAAATTTATTTTCTTTCGCTTGCCTGACAATGAGCTTCTTTCTTTGTCTAAATTTTGTCTATTAGTTAGAATTGGACATTTTTCTTACTTATGTTCATACAAGTTCTGTATAAAGCTCTAGCCAACTTCACCGGTCTCAAATCGTTCTCTTCGTCCATTTTTTCCAGCAGTATCCTTAGATCCTTTAGCAATTGTTCTCTGAGAACACTCAGTTGATCCCAGGAAGTTTGACTCTGCGGTATAGGATTTCTTGAAATCCAACCGCCGCAGGCGAATTCGTAAAAATCTTGACAAGGATCAACGGACCTGTTCATCGCGTCCATTATTCTAACAGCTAGATGAGGATAATCCTTATTTGTAATTATCTGTTATGCAAGATCAACGTAAATGTAAATTATTCTTATGTAAGAATAATTTCAACGCTACGTAGAGCGCTCTTGAGGCTATACATTGCTTTGATTTATGTTTAAAAATACAGAAAAGGAAAACATTGATTTTACGATACCTGTCTTCACGCATTCTTCACTCTGGCATGTCTCATTATAGGCCCCCTTACGATAAATAACCATCTGCGAAACCAGCGTTATTAACAAAGCAACCACGATTACCATTAATATACCAATGATTGTGGCCAATTTTCTTTTATTTTCACATTGCCTGTCGGAGAACCAAATTTAAATATTAAATATTCATCAAAATAATGAATAAGCATAGCACAAGGTAAAAAAATAAACACTTTAAAATTTCATTTTTATACTTTCATAGTTAATTAGATAAAACTGCTGTTTAAGGAATCCAATGTCCAATGACTTTGATCTTTGCGTATGTTTTAATATCAAAGATGTCCTCTTTCAAAATCATATAACAATCTATCTGATCACATTTTAAAGCGTAAAGCTTCTACTAACCTGAATTCGTTTTTTTTTTTTTTTCAAAGATAACTTTAAACTTTTATAACTTATAACTTATCTTTTAAAAAGATTATAAAAATTGAAACGTCCATAAAAATCTTGAAAAATATTTTCCTCTGATTAAATCGACTCAAGTTCCCCCTTTATTGTGACTCCTGTATAATTTTTTTTCTAATTTTTTTAGGTAATCCTTTTACCTAAAAAGTAAAGGTAAAGAGAAAAGTTTAATTCTCATCAAAGGTAAAATTTTCGTCAAGTCCTGAAAAGAAATTTTTAATTTTTTTTAAAAGTGTTTGAATTTTGACAATTTTCGAGGATAAAATTACTTTTATTTTCTCGTCCGCTATGAAAACATCTTTAAAAAACTCAGAGCAGTCAAAATGGCAGCTTTACGCTTCAAAAAGAATCCAAATAAATTGTTAGGTGATTTTTTTTTTTTTATGAAATTAATAGTTTAATATAAAGATCAGAGTTATTGCCCTAAACAGCAGTTTTAGCGTTAATTATGATTTGCTAATTACCGTGAGAATATCGATTCTTCTTTCATTTCACTTATAGCATTCCTTTCGTTATTTGCCTCTGAGACGTTTATCTAAATAAATAAAAATAGAACTGATAGAATCGCTATTCTTCAATTTGCCTCAAAGTGAAAAACACTTATACATCTTTCCGTTCAATCTGTAATTTCTCTTAAAAAGTAAATATACTAATGATTGAATTAATAGTATATTTATGACTGAATAAATTTCGTATGCCTCGATATCTTAAACACTCTAAAGCGTGCATAATTGTTACATTTACTTCATACATATATTACTTACGTTCTTATGCACTTATTTTAATAGTTAATACGAGATTCGATGTTTATTAATTTTAATGGTACTCGTTTCCGAATTTATTATTTATTCGCCGCGTTTCAGTTGAACAGATGACATAATTGAGGCTCGATTTTCATACGCGAGGACGTCTAAGTAGAATACTTCACTGACATTCATTGGAACAATCGAACTAAGTAACAAATCACAATCATGATGTACAGTACAGGACACATTATGGTAACGATAACGGAACAAGATAGTAAGAAAATGGTAACAAAAGTGTATGCATTTTTAAGTACAACTTGACGCGCAATAATTTAAATATTTAGATCATAGTTTTTTAAAAAAATTATTTTAATATTTCTTCCGTTTGACAAGATGATACAAGATGAGTGTGAATTAACGATACGGACATAATCGTCGTATCACGATGTTTTCCTTAAAATAGACCGATATGTCGTGACGCCTGTCTCGATTATTACAGTTTAGACCTCCTTATTCGTTTATCTATATTTATTTATGCAACTAGGGAAAAAAGGCGAGTGCTGCGATAAGAAAATTTTCGATATTCGCTCGTAATGCCGCCAATTCTAATGTATCTATCTTCTTTCAAGTCTTGCAATTATTTGAGTAGAACGAGAAAATTATACCTCATAACATGATCTTTCACTATATGCATTTATTACACACGTGCATAATATACGTACGAAGATTCAGAATTATTGCCAACAATTTTCCCTCACCTTGTATTTCATCCTTTCTCTCGTTTATCAATCGGAATTATCTGAAACAAAGAACAGTCGGGAAGTAATTGTTTCAGTAAAGTTTTCAGACTGACAAACAGTTGTCTGCAAACGCGACGCGATAATAGTCTACATTTACATGTTACGTACGTTGCTCGCGAATAATCTGCAGATAACAGAAGACAAGATACAAATTCAGAGGCAGTCTGTGGATAAGTATTAAACTGTATTTTATGTTCCGTTGAAATAGAAAGCTGGAGACATACAGTGATTGCCATTAATATTTTGATATTAAATACTGATTTTTTTTTTTATTTAATTTTGCAAGAAGAAATTGTACAATCGTGAACTGGGCTCGTTTAAAATGTTGAAGCCTCTTTTTTCAAAATGCATCTTCCATTTTAATCTAAGATTTTTATATCTAGATGTTGCTACATAGATAGCAGATGATAAGGTAAAGACACATTCATTCTCGAAAATTGTCAGATTATGTAAAAATAATAAATTGAATTTGAAGATCAAAATATCTTCTTTAGAATGGCACTTCAAAACTTTTTCCCCCTATTTATTGAACTATTGAAGATATGATTTCCCAAAGTTCGATAGATTACTTCTCAAAGTCTAATAAAATAACGAAAAAGAAATTACACATCAAGTTTTTCGGGGATCGATGTAAAAGAAAGGTTTCGTTCTTCAAATTCAAATTATTAAATTACAGCATTTTGGAGAAGAGAAGTATCTTCACTTATTCGTCCGCTACTTGATGTAAAAATTTTAAAATAAAATGACGCACTTTAAAAGCAGGAACTTCAAACTTTAAAATAAAGATTTATTGTTCCACGATTTCTTTTTTATAACAGTTTAAATATTTAATGTTCGAATATTAATGACAACACACAGCACAATTTAATCGTAATTTTTACGTGATAAATATATCATATCAATTTATTTTTTTTCTCATCTTAATAAAGTCCTTCGAAACATTAAAGAGCTTCACACTTCTGATATAATGAAAATAAATCTTGTTTAGATCTGGTGCAATATCTTGAAAAGCAGAAATTCCTACGGATGAAAATTAATATTTTCCTTTGTCTTCGAACTAAGTTTTTGTAATGAAATTATTTCTAAACGTCCGTTCAAACAAAATTTCTAATTTTAGAAGAAGATCGTTTTGAAGGTTGGTAACTTTTGATCAAAGATTTATGCCTCTAAAATCGTCTAATAATTTTCTGTTTTTCTTTTTCTGTGCGAACTTAAAAATATGCAATATTTTACAAACTAAGCAATAGCAATCTCACTCATAGATTGAAGATACTAATTAAATGTGAATGCACGACATTATCTGTAGATAATCTGCTCGCCTACTATAGATAATATACGTGAATTATCTACAGATAATATCTATCAATCTAAATTAGATTTAATATTATAGACGTGTCATCACACACACACACACATATATTGTGGGTTATGCAATAACTGAAATTGCATCGTGATACGATATATTCAATACATGTTCGATATTAAGCATCATATTATATAAATACTACATCAAATCTTTAAACTCAAACATTTATTTAACGAAAATTTGTAATCGTGCCGAAAAAAGAAGAGGAAAGAAGAAAAGGAAACGAATGAAGAAAGATTCGCACGCATCTTATTTAAAATTAGCCGTGGTTATTTTTACGAGAATCTTCGGTTTCGCTATAGTTTACAGTTCATTGAACGTGTGTATGCTGTAGTGAAGAGAAAAAAGTGTTTGCAAGATTAAATGTTTATAAGAAAGCATGACGCGTCCACGATTTAGGGTCTCAAGTTCATTGTCAAGTAATGATTTTCGTATTTTAATCATTATTTTTCGTATTTTTTATTGTACCACAACACGATCCTTATTCTTTCCTTATTTTCGCGACTAAACTATGAACTGAACTCACCTCGTTTTTTTTCGGTTTCTCACGATGTCTGTTAAAAATCTATTAAATCTTTTGCTCTCGATGTTTGATGCGTCTTTCTCTTCTTTTCGCGAATCTTTGTTAATTCACAACCGATTATTTATTAATTACACGGAATTTGCATATACAACAAGCCACGATAAATTAATTTTCAATAATATACATGAAATTTAATAAATTCGAAAATTGAACATCCACAATTTTCCATCCTTCTTTCTTCTTCCTTTCATTCGATGTCCAACCTTGATTACCGTGATTCAAAATTCGAACATTCTGAAATTTGAATCTCAAACAATGCAGCTTGAAATCGATAGTAAACTATACTGATCTTTCGACGAACAAGCCAGCCAATATAATCTTCGAATCCCCTACCACTTCCGCGTGATGAAACCACGCTGTCGAGAAATGAATTCTTTTTGCTTTCAGTTGACTGGTGATTGATGCTCGATGATTCTCTTCGATTTAGGATATCATATCGTATCGCATATATGTATTATACATAAGGTATGTGTACCAAAGAAATCGGAAAAGAATCAATATCAAAAATTTTCCCTCCCATTTGTGTTGCTCGTGAAATGAACATTGTTTCGTTGAACATTAAGAGTTCTAATAAATCACGTTTTCTCTTAACTATAACTTACTAATGATTGTTATATATTTTAATAAAGTTGTACAAATTATGCTAAGTTGTTCAAATACTTACATTGCTTTCAAACAGTTCTTACTTTTTTACCATTTTTCTTTTAGTGAAATTTAAAAATAAACAATGATCCAATGATTTTTTTTTATCACTATATTTTATAGAAATTATTCAAAAAAGGAACAACAAACGTTACTTTGAGTATCAAAGAAACTTACGTAAAAACAGGATTTAGATACACGATCGTCCATTTGAATAAAATTTTTAAAACAAAAAATTAATAATAAAATTAATAATAATATTTTTTCAGATAAAAGGTAATATTAGCTAAAAATAGAATTAGATAAATATATTGTAATTAGATAAAAATGAGATAAGTATAGTATTATTGGATACTATACTTATCTATATATTATTAGACACTATATATATATTATTATTAGATAGATTATTAAATTATTATAGTATTTAATAATATATATACTATCTATATTAACATAAAATATTATAGTATATTAGAGAATATAGAATAGATAAAATTAGTATTAATAATTAGTAGTAATTGGAAAATATTCTTAAAATATTTTCTTACGAAAAAATTATCGCATTTACTTAGCTCGCATCAATTCAATTTGCATACAAGAGTAACTTTTTCCAAGGTTTTAATGCAAATATTTTATTGTACGATGAACAGATTATATAAATGTTTATCCTTCCCGGCCGTCTTGAATGCTTGATTCTATCGGACGCTACCAACTTGAGAAAAATATTGCGTGAAGTATAGTATATTCATGCCATCACTGAGATCAATGCATAACAGCTGCGGCGTATCGATTTCATTCTAGGTAACATAAGCAATGTAGCCACGTTTTGAAAAACCAGGAAAACTTGTTTATTAATTAATAGTCGACAGTTTATAATTAATAATCTGCGAATTACCTTCATACTTTTATTCTTGTCTCTCTTTCTTTTGGCCTCTCTCTTTGTCTTCGCAGCAGGATATCTTCACTTCTTCAATCTTAATCGTTTCCACTTTATTACTATAATAAATACATTACGCATCATTTATTATTAGACAATTTTACAACTGTCTTTTCTTGTTCATCTTTCCTTGTATTTAAGAAACAAAATTAATCTTTTATTTTCGATCTTAAGAGCAGATAACACATTGACAATATGATGGATTAAGTTTACAAGAATAGTACATACATCTACTGTGTAAAAAATCCATTGGAGCATTGTGTCTATCAATGTAATTCATTGTAAACTTCATTATTACCGGATTACGTCGAAACCTTGACATTATTCATGTAAAAAAACGTACATATGCGTGTAGTTGTATATTGATTCGATACTCATTTTATCGTCACGTTTATGTGCTCGTGAAGCGAGCAAGTCGGCATAATCATAATCATAATTATAATTTATTTTCTATCCATTATACTACGATTAAATACGAAGGCTGCGACTCGTTCGTCGTAAGACGAAGAAAACCGTGAAAAATATTTGAAACAGATTCGTTCTGACCGAAAGGATATTACTCGTAAGTGTAACAGTTAATGTTAAAATAGTAATACTGATTGACGAAATGCAAATGGAATAGAGGAAAAACGATGATCCAGATGAACCGTGCCTGCTTTATTAAAACATGAAAAAAACAGAGTAATCCAGGTACAAAGAGAGAGAAAACGATAAGGAACAGGCGATTTGATGTTTCGATGAATCAAAGATTGATGATTACCGATATTATTGAAACGTTTCTAAGCGTCATGGTATCTACAGTAGGCAGTATCCTCTATCAACTCTTGAGGAATCAATTCTTCCGTCGGAGATTGATGCGACATTGTTGCTGCATAATTCTCCACTTCCTTCAGCACCCTCAATAAATTTCCGCCAACCAATTTCTTGATATCTAGAGCCGACCATCTTCGGTCTCTGGTCAATTCAGCTAGTAGCAAAGGATAGCCGGAAACATCCGGTAATTCAATCGGTGGACTGGAAATATATGAAAGGCTCATTCATTGATATTTTACTTCAAAATAGTCTGTAGATCGTTCATACTTTGATATACCATCGTAACCAGCTCCAAGACCCACGTGATTAACGCCAGCTATTCGCCTTATGTGATTGATGTGAGCTATAAAAGCAAGTGTATCTTTCTAACTTTGCTTTATATAATTTGTTGTAGTAAACAACATTTTTAAACATTTCTTTTTAAATTCTGACACACGCATACCTATTATATCGTACATGGAAGCTTTATCGCCGCAGCTTAAATGCGCGCTGTCGAAGCTCACCATCACCAAACCTCCATTCACCGACTTGAAAAAAATTAGTGAAAATCAACATGGTCGACTTGAGAAAACTTACATAGATTTACACAGGCAAAGGAAGAAGGAAGAGGAAATTCTTCTCACCAAATTACGGAGTACATCATCTGGAACATTACTGGACGAATTACAGAGAGCTCTGGCTGCACTATGAGAAAAGATCACTGGCGCTTTACTTATCGCCAATGCATCCCTCATAGTCCTTATCGAAACGTGAGACAAATCTACAAGCATTCCTAATCGATTCAATTCTTTCACTACCGCTTTGCCAAATGCCGATAATCCATCGCTGTGAAAATCCAATCGTGCGTCTGAATTCGAATCTTCTACCGAACAAGAATCTGCCCTGCGAACAATTGCGACAATTATTACGTACCTATACGAAGGCCGTATATATATATATATATA